CTAGAATAGCTTCAATTGGATTCTTCATAACATAATCTATGTATTAGTTAATGGCAGTGATGGCAAGTGACCCTAATGACCTCAAATGTCTCTAATGACTGGTTATGTCATTTCAACATTAAATGACAAATTACCTGGTCATTTAAAAATTATAATATGATCTCAATAATTCTGGCCAAAATAATTATGTTTCGAACGTTTTTATAAATAGTGATATAAATTTGTAATTCTAGCCAGCATATAAAATTTGGCCTGTATTACTAAATGACAAATGACCTTAAATGACCAGGTCATTCGAAGGCCATTCGGAGGTCATTTCAAAATCGCCAAATGACCTGGTCAATTTCCATCACTGGTTAATGGTGGTGCCGGAACGTTCGCTGTTGTTGTAAATTTATTTTCAGTACAAATTAATGAAGTAATATTTCGCCTATAACTTATTTTGTTACAGGATCACAGAACAAAACAGCAAAACGTGTCATATCGATAATATTTACTTCTGCGTTCTGGAAGCTTCAAAGATAAGAGCAGTAGAAAAATTACATCGATCACAGTAATGTTGAGTGGAATTAATAAGTAAAGGATGAAAATGGTGAAACTTTTCATATCGATTATCTTCTTATTAATTTTGTTCGATATTTAAATTACATGTATATAATAAATATCTGGTAATTTAGTAGATAATATGTCAAGAGATAAATTCAATCTCTTAAAAAGTTCCAAAATAGAATGATTTTTAGATTATTATGTATTTAAATTGCATGTTCAAAATAAATAAGATCAATATATAGCCAACAACAAAAAATAATAAAAATAATAAGTTAATGAATTTACTTTATCAAATGACTAAGTTTTGCAAAATTTAACATAAAGTCTTTTTTTCTTTCATTTATAATTCTTTCTAATTAATTATTCATAAATTTTCTTGTAACTATGTTCTTTTTATCTTCGATAAATCAGCTTTAAAATCCACTAATTCTAAACCAACATTATAAATTGCATGTAAGGATTCCAGGCAAAACCCGGAGGTTTCGACAGGCATCGAAAACGAAACCCGTCGAAATCCATTGAAACCCCGTCGTTGAAACCCATTGTTTTGGCTTTTGCAAAAATGGGATTTGAGTTTACTCCGCAAACTTAATTGCATTGTTGGCTTGGTATCTGTAAACTTAAACGATAAACTTTTAATTCAATCCGTCAAATTAAATACAAGACAATATC